TTCATCTTTAAAAAACGTGAACAAATTATGCCCCATTTTGGAGATGAACTCAATTCGAATGGAGTTTAGCTTGATACCTTGATCAGCGATGGATGCCAAACAAATTGACAGCTTCGCCAGCGTTAACGAAGAGCAAACAAGACTGAACCAAAATAACTTTGAATTAAACTTTAAAAAACAGCTTCAAGAATCGTGTTAAAACAATAGTAAAACTAATACTGTGCTTACCGGAATCAAAAATGTTCCTTTCTGTCGTTATTCAGCATCCGCAAACACAAAAGTGGCAGTTTGTTAAATAAAGTTTTAAAGTGTTTATGTTAATAAGTTTATTGTTCTATCTGTCATATCGTGGTGGTCAAAGGCACAAATTTTTCTGAGCATGCGTCTCTCCTTTGACCACCAATACCCATACATATGTTTGACAAACGAACTTTAAGAATTCCATATATATATATCTGGAATGATAACGACAATACATTTTATAGATATAAAATTGAAGCCAAAGTCCTAGTCTCTTGCGCGGTTTGTACGTCAGTTCCAGTCCTTCAAAGTCGAATATTCACGCGGTTTGTACGTCAGTTTCATTCCCTGAGTGCCAAACATACACGGCCAATATAAATTTTGAATACAAACTGCAAAAGCATAAACATATAAACAACATCACGACAAACAACACACTAGGCCAACTCTTCGCAAAGGTTATTTTTACAGCTAAACTTTACTACAGTGAGTTCGTTGTAACTTACAACTTGTAACGAGGAAAAGCCAACTAAAATTACACTTTATGCTAAAAGGCAATACAATAAGAAAATATGACGAGAAAATATTCAAGCATAAATTTTCTTTCGTCGGAAGGTAAATTTTCAAACGGTGTCAGACAGTGTTTGTCTTTTTGTCGTTTCAATGGATTTAAAGATCTGTTTTTCCGAAGAAAAAGAAACTTGAATATCAGGTTCATAAAAATGTTGAGTCTATAACTCGCATTTTACTTTTACAGAGCGATTGTATCTTCATCGATTTTGATAGTGCTTGAAATACTAAATGGTTGTCATCTCGATATCAGTAATTGAATATCCTTAAAGACTTTGATATGTTTTAAAGGAAAACCTTAGCGTAAAAGCAGATCGACTAAGTTCACCTCACCCTGCTTCTCGATTTATCACTTTGATTCACTTTCTGTGAACCTTTTCCTTCCAAAAATTTCGTTATTTTTACGCTCTGATCAAGATTCGAACTCTACCATTACCAAGGGACAAATGATTTAAAAAAATTAAAATGAACACGCGAGAGACTAGAGCCTGACGTGTGATGACGAATGATGACGACAAATATTTTTTTGGCTTCGGTTATCATTCCAGTTATTCAAATGTCGAGTTCACTGCGAGGCCCAGGCCCCTTTGCCCCTCCAGGTCTTATAGAGCTCAATGGCCATTACCGCCATGTTTTTGACCACGAGGCCCAGGCCCCTTTGCCCCTCCAGGTCTTATAGAGCTCAATGGGCGGATTTTGGTTGTCAAAACTTCCACTTTGAGAAAAATTTTTAACATTCGCTCCCTCCCGAATCCGGAACTGTATTACTGCTTATATCAATGACAACCAGCGAAAACAACCACGATACCGTAAGCATAAAATATTGAAAATAATGCTTCAGATTTTTGTGAAATAGACACACACATTTAAATGAGGTAAATCTACTGTAAAATAACGTATGTTTTGTCAAGTAATGCTTTAGCTATGTTAGAAATAAATATCAAACGGCATTCTTTACACTGTCAATGTGTCGTTAAGCTTTAATGCATAATCCCATGCGCAATACTTGTGTTTTTGACTATTTTTTACAGCTTCGTGCAACTGTCTTTCTTGAATAGATGGGTAAATATTAGTTAAAATGTCCAAAAGGAGTTAGAAAAGTTAGCTTACCCTACGACTTAAGTCGACTGGAAATATATTATAAGTAGGTATGTATTTTTTTTGAGTTTTTTTTGGTAGGATTGATTCTGGGTGTCTTATAAGGTATTATGATATTCTGATAAATCTACTGAGAACTTATGAAGAAAATATCTCGAACTAGGAGAGCAAAAGAACGAAATTCAGAAATTCTATAATCATGTTGCTGGTTCTGTTTTGAGCCAAGATATTAGTAACTGGATTGTCATTGACAACCATGGATCTACTATTGAACAGAACTACATTAATTTCCCATTGAAAATACGATTTTTTAAATTAAAGTGCATTGGTTTCTCTGACATAACACTTTTCTTATTGCTGCATGAAGGCAAACCTGTTTAAATAATTATAATGTAGGTGAAGATATTTAGCATGTTGTATAATTGTTATTATACAGACATTATTTATAATATTATGGCCTTGTGTAATGTATGTCAAGAACTTATTAACTCTCAAAAATGCTAACCTTCTTGCACTACTTTTCTCTTGTGTCCTTACAAATTACAGTTACCTATACTAATTTTTTCTAGGTTCAAACAACTTGACAAATTTTTGAATTTTACATTATGCCTTGGAATTTTTCTTTTTGTCTTTTGGTAAAAATATCAGTAAATGACTTAAAAATCAAGTTTATCTAAAATAGTATTTTGTACAAAATAACTATACATAATTGGAAAAGTCTCATGTTGAAGACCGATGTGGCTTCTTTTACTAGATTGCTACTCTTATTCTTTTAAATGATATCGTAATTCTTCAAAAGACATAAAAAGTTCTTTGTCATCAATTTTTGCTTCTTCCACATTCAACTTCATTGCAAACCAATGCATCTTATGTGAATTTTTAATCACCTGGAATTGAAAAACATATGGACTTTGTCAGATGATGCAGTACTGTATTTAATGTTTCATGCATGTCATGATAAGCTTTGCTTGAGCAAATATTTCAAGGTAGGAGCAAAATTTGGCACATTATTGAACAAAGTAGTTTTTATCTTGATTTTGATGTACTAACCTGTTTACTACACTGTGTAACAAACAATTCATTTACAGAAACACCAGATGGCATTCATAAAACTTTTAGCATAAAGCAAACCATTACACACCATCATCATGATTGTCCATAATCTGTCAAATTGTCCAGGCTAGCTGTTTAATACAGGTATTTTTTATTGTACGACATGTACCAAAGAGCTCATTAATTAATCTTGCACTGCATTTGATTTCAATACAGCTCTGTCCTTAATATTTGCTTCATATTTTCAGAAAAATATCATGAAAAATCCTCCATTTCAACTCAGTTGAAACAAGGAGTTTTAAGATATGCATATCTCGATAAGAACTGGTTGCTTTGCCTCGTCTAGCAAGCGATTAAGTAAAGAACAAATAAGAATGGATAAACATAACTTAAATTATAACTTAGGAGTAAAAACATTCACAAAATATATACAATCACACTTCAAGTATTGACTTAAAACAAAACACTGAACACTTTAAATGGTAAACAATCTTACGTTGCTTACCGGTATCATGAAATGTTTCCTTTTCTGGCATTACTTCAGCATCCGTCTACCAAACAAGTTTGCAACATGTTTTGAAGATAAAATTTCTAAAAGTTTTTGTGTTTGGCATTGATATTTTATATAATCGCAATTGTGGTTGTCAAATCCGGGTGGGCGAAAAAAATTTCATTTTATGTGCCCGCGTCTTTCCGCTGACTTTGACAACCAAAATCCGCCATGTTTTTGACCACGCGGCCGCGCGCTAATAATTTATAGTAATTTGGTTGACGTTTCCCCTCCAGGTCTTATAGAACTCAATGTAGAGGGCTCTGTGTATAAGGAGAGTTGGGACACCGGTAGTAAAATTGTTTAGCGTCCGCCATTTTTGTTTCAAAAGCCAGCAAAGATAGAGCATTTAATGGTGGAGAGATAAATTTTCATTAGTGTTTTCTTATTCATGAATAGACAGCGATGCCTACCTTTGGAGCTCAGTTGTTTATAAATGTCATAATGATAGAAAAGCATTTATTTAATGCAGTGGATGTAATTTATACGCCTTTAGCACTGTTTTTTCCGCTAGGGAGCGCGCGTGTTTCTATTCGTCATCGCTTCGATCGGCAACAATTTTTTATTATTTATCTATTTATTATTTTTTATTATTTATTATTTATTATTTTATTATTTTTTATTATCTAACCCTAACCCTAACCCTAACCCTAACCTTGATCATAATGCAAAATGCAGAGAACAATACGTGTCCCAACTCTTAAAAATACAGGGCTCTGATACGAACAATTGTAAACGCATTAAAATATCAAGATAGAGTTAGTAATATATTGTATTATGTTAAGAGATCCAAGAAAAGAAATAAATAAGGTTGTATTTTTGTAGTTTACCTGCCAACCTGCTTCAAGCCTCCATCTCCCATTATCCGTACATGTCTGCTATGTTTTCTCGTGATAATAGGACCAATCAACGATAAGCGTTTGTGTCGCACGTAATCAAAAAATTTGGGCTCTAATGCTCCTGGAATTACTCTTATTAGCCCTGTTAACAAGCAATAAAACAATAAACTGTGGTAAAACACGGTTTTCTTGCCATTTATATTGTCTTTGATAGAAGAAGAAGAAACTATGTGACTTTCTCCACAGATTACTGCAAAAGAAATAGGTCTAGTTTAAAAACAAAAGCCTCTCTTTGCATTACCAATATATTTCAAAGGAGATTAATACGGTATAGGATGCATATATATGAATATTAGCCCCCAATTATCAATCTATTGCGATCCCTGCAACTACAATTTAATGTCTGGTCTGGATCGTTTTGAAGTAATCATTACGGTATAGCCATGAAAAGAAAGAACTTAAAACTGCATGCTTGGGGTACCTGGTATGAGCTGAGTTTAAGTTATTAGGTTTAGTGAGCATTAATTTACATTTCTTTGTCGTGTACATAATATCAATTAGTCTGAAAGCTGATATCACATACAAACCATAATAAACCATAATAGTAAGTCAAAACCATTATCTGTTGCATTAAATTTTTGTTTTTGCAGATGATCGATGGCCTAACGGTAATTTTGGTTTGCCAAATACAATTTCTGGATGTCCTGGAGGCTTGGAAAGTGGTTGGCGTGAGGGATGGAGGTTCCAACATATGGAGAATGATAAAAATAGAAAGCTAAGTTCAAGCGCATCATTTAAAAATCACTTTCGTATTGCGTTTCATATAACAAAAATGGATATGATCCAATATTTTTGTATGCTAGACCAAATTGGCAACAATTCAAAGTCTTGGCCTAGAGGTATAAGGGCTGTTTCTGGTTTGTTTTCCATATTGACTGTCTTTATAGTTTGTTTGCACAAAATACATGATACAAAAAGATTACTTTTTATGACATTTCATTATTTCTTGTGCATAGTATCATATAAAATATCATTAAACTTTTTATATTCTACATTGGATACACCTTAAACTAAACACTGAAAATAAAGCAATTCTCATACAAGAATATTTTCGATTACGAGATGCCTTGAAAAAAATAAGTAAAAAAAACGTAGTCAAATATTTGTAAAGCCAATGTTTCGTCAGCCTAACTATTAAGATACTCAAAGGCAATTTACTAGTATGCATGAAAATGATAAATATAATTAACATATCTTTCAAATATTGACTGTCTTTTGGTTTGGCAAGTGGAAAGTTTGCAGATGGATTTGATTTTTTATTTCAGGATTGTCGATTGCATTTCACACATATACCTCAGTTAAAGATAACTGACTACTGAAATTTATAAAGTGTAAATCATACATTAACGTTTTTTTAAAAGGTACATATTGTGTTTACAAGTCAAGTAATGCTTGTCCTAATGGTATGAGTTCAAATGGCACTGTTAAATGGGACAATGAAAATACTAATAATGTCAATGTACGAAAAGGTCGACTACCTGATGGCATCTATGATAAAGACACTACTATTAATTATTGCTGTCAAACAAATGGAAACTGGTATGATTCCATTGAATTGCCAGTTATCAAACCTTTTTACTTGTTGACATCCAATTCATTGTCATCTCCCAAATGTCAAATGGTAAAATGGGCAACAAGTCAAATGGAGTATATTTTATTTGATACGGAGGATGACAACAATAGTGATAATCTTTCTGGAAATCATGTTTTTGTTGATACTTCTGATAGTTCTGGTCGCAAAAAATTCTACTATTGTTATTACAAAGGTAACGGTCTCTATTTTTTTTTATTTCTTGTTTTACAAAACCTGAAGAATGCACAAATATAAAATTTCCTGTTGTCAAAATTATCCCGTAATGATTGTATGATGACCATATATTTTTTACACCTTCAAGAAGGATATGTGTAATTTTGTCTCTGTAAACCAATTTTTAGACTGTCGTGTTTCTGTCACTGGTCTCAGTGGTTCAATTTCATTGCATCAGACAGCCAGAAATAATATGCATCCACACTCTCAATATTGTTCATGGTTGATCACTGTAGCAGAAACATTTGTCATCTCCCTGAAATTCTCAATACTTAATGTCCCACAATGCAAGGATACATTTCTCAATATTTACGATGGTCCAAATGATACCTCTTCTATACTTGGTAAATATTGTGGAGCAAATGCAAGTGCAGGAATAAAAATACGTTCTTCAACAAACCATTTGTTTATCTTGAGTAACTCTGGTAGCTATGGGTCATATCCGAAAAGTGTGTTTGCTTTTCGTGCACAATACAAAGCTCAAGTTTTAGGTTTGTTGTTATCATTTGTTATATTGACAACGTCTCTTTCCATTAGCTGTAACTTTTATTGATTAAGAATAAATTTAGAAGTTCATTACAAATTAAGCTTGCAAACAATGGAAAACTGATAATTATTGCTACTTCCTTTGCTAAATCGTCATTTAAACTTTCTAATACAAACATTCAAGTGATTGTGCAAGATTATTTGTAAAATGCTTTTTATTGTTTTTATCTTTGAAATTGCTTTTTACTTCAGGTTATCGCAGATTATACACTGCTCTTAGTGGTTCAATATCTTCACATGATCGAACGCCAAACGACACCAAACTACACTCTCAATATTGTTCATGGTTGATTACTGCACCAGAAACATTTGTCATTTTACTCAAATTCTCGATATTAAACATCCCACAATGCAACGATAAATTTCTCACTATTTACGATGGTCTAATTGATACCTCTCGTCTACTTGGTAAATATTGTGGAGAAAACGCCACTGCACAAGTGAAAATACTTTCTTCGACAAACCAGTTGTTTATCGTTGGTAACTGTGGGAGCAATGAATCTTATTCAAGAAGTGTGTTTAGATTTCAAGCACAGTATAATGCTAAATGTTTGACTCAAGGTTTGCATGCGGTTTTATTTTGAATTAACTTATCTTTAGAAGTCCTTATATGATTTTTTGCCCTGTTTCAGTAAAATAGTAATTTTCCTTTCAGCCTGTCGTAACGACCGATATACTCTAAATTTGTAATTACAAGAAGAAAGTTTTATCTGGGCTAGATAGGGTTTTCAACCTAACAAAAACAGCAGTAAACTTCATGTAATAATAGCGGACTTCACCGGGTGAATTTCAAAACCTCATTCACAATAATTACTTAACCTCCAAAGTATTTTGAGTACAACTGGACTAAAGTTGTCGTAAAATTTGTTATCAATGCTACAAACGCGCCAAAAATTCAAAAGCTTTTATAAAGTTATTAGAATCAGGCTATCTCATGTGCATATGTGCATGCTTATAAAATCATCAAATGAGATGATGACAAATGCATATATGGCAACGGTAACTCCAAATATCGTAAGGATTTTGATTCATCGTTTCGACTTTATTTCTTCATTAGGAATGATTATTTTACAGCTTTAGTGCCATGATTAAGTTACAGTTTCTGCCTACAGATAGCAATTGCTTCTTTGAATGGAAGGTTTGACCAATGATGAGACAGTTGCTCAGGAGGAAGAGAGTTAAGTCAAATTGCTCATTCGTTTTCTGTAATAACATACTCGTGTAGTCTTGTGTAGAGGAATCTTTCTGTCTTACCCATGTGTATTTTGGTGCAGCCTGGACATGAAAATTTGTATACTGCTAAACTTTGAAATTCTTTGGGTGTTTTGTCTTTGTATGATTGCAAGTAGCCTTTTGTGTTAGTATCCAAAAACAATGAATTTAACCGGTTTTTCAACAATGTAGAGAGTTTTAGTTTAAATTGGTGTAGGATATCCGTTCCACGTTTAACTATGCATTAAGGTCGGATAAAAACCTGACGGACTTTGCCTGTTTGGTCATCACTGCTGTTACCAGGACTGATTTGGGTTTGATCAGCATTTAGGGTGAATTTTTTTAGCGTTAAATTTGCGAATTTTTTTGTGCTTACGCTATCTGGAGTTATATGCTTATATTATTTGGATTTACGTGCTTACGTTATTTGGAGTTACTGTTGCTATGTATTTTATTAAAATATTCAGTGGCTCCCGAAAACATTTTTGCGAGGACAAAGTTGCTTGCGTTTAAATAGGGACCTTAAGATTTCACGACGCGCGTTACAACGACGCGAGCTTGGCGCGCATGTCCTGGTGCGAATGCGTTCGCGTGTCATTGTAAGTTAAGTCATTAAGAATAGATTTCCTTAACGACGCGGACTTGTGAGTTCACTACCTATACTTTCAAAAAAATGGCCTCCTTCAAAAAAACAAGAAATGCTATAGCTGTTGCGTATGACGCCGCTTTGATAAACGAAGAAGAATTGATGAGCAATCACTTGATGATGATGAAAACTGTTCTGCCATTTTCTTGCCTTGCTAAAAGCAAAAATGTAAACATATTTTACTCGCAGATAAATATCAACACATCAATTACATACCAGACTCCACAGACAATTGTAAATGGTGAATTAAAAGCTGAATACTTACTTTAAAACCTTTTTTTGTGAAAAATTCCACCTTCGATCTAGGACGACGTGGGATTAAGCAAAGACGCCGCGTAGTAGAAGCACGACAAAACTCCACGACGCACGCACGTGCGCATTGGTTTAAAATTCATTTCCGCTCGCGTTGTAGATGAGCGCGTCGTCAAATCTTAAGGTCACTAATATTGGGGTTGGACAAAATATTTCCTTAAAAATTGGTGATTCACTATAATAGATTGTCCTCGTAAAAGGTGAAAATTCACTCTAAAATATACTGGGTCAATTATAATAAAAACAAGTTACATAATAGCGCCGTTTTAAATCACTATACCTACGTTGTTCACGTTAACACGCCTGGTCTTCGTGAGTGGTTGGCAGGCTAAAACTGACGCAATTTTTAATATTGTGATTAATTTCTTACTTATATGAAAGTAAAAAATGTAGCTTTATTGTTGAATATTCAAAAACTGCATAGCAGATTTAACTGTGAAAGAACATAGAAATTGATGAAATTGAGAATGGAGTTATAATTTGGATTAGGCAAAAGGATGATAATGATTTTGAAATGATTTTGTTCCAGAGCAACTATTGAATTAGCATATACGTATGATATACCATGTAAAGCTGTAAACTGGTAATACAAATTCCAATTCATCTTAGTAGTTTTGCTTTACAGAGAACGATCAGTGGCCAAGTGGTGACTTTGGATTACTTAAAGCTAAAACGGGATGTCCAGGTGATTGGAAAAGCGGATGGCGAGAGGGATGGAGGTTCCAGGATATGGAAGATGAGAAAGAACCCTCAACAGCGTCATTTGAAAACCACATGGATGTAACCATTCTAGACAGAGCATCGGGTGAAAATGTCAATCGAACATTTTGTATGTTGAATCGAACAAACAAAGAAACATCACCATGGCCTAAGGGTTTGTGGCTGTTTGTATATATATTTTTTGTTATGGTTGCTTAAAATAGCTTTTTGTTTGTCTCTGAGCAATGGACTATGGAGAGTTGTCAACACAAACGATCTCTATATACGACATGAATGGACATAATTTGGTGTGCTATGATGAGTTGGTGAACATTATTAGGCCATTCATTGTCGTTTTTGATAATTGTTCAAAAACCGGAAATGAATATTTTAGTGATGCTTTCCTCTTTATATCATAATTTATTTACAAACATGTACAATAGTATCTTGACAAATGACTTCCAAAGTAATAACATTTTCTTAAAAATATTTTTTATGTTTTTTAAAGGTACGTATTGTATTTACAAGTCACGAGGTACAATTTGTCCGAATGGTATGAGTCATGGCTTTGTGAGGTGGGACGACGAAAACAACGGCAATATAAATAAACACGGAGGATACTTACCTGACGGAACATATGATATAGACACTATTATTACATATTGCTGTCGAACAAATGGAAACTGGTATGATTCCATTGAATTGCCAGTTATCAAACCTTTTTATTTGTTGACATCCAATTCATTGTCATCCCCCAAATGTCAAATGGTAAAGTGGGCAACAAGTCAAATGGAATATATTTCATTTAATACGGAAAACACTAGGAATCTCGATTATTATGCTGGAGATTGTGTGTTCTTCGACACTTCTGGCAGTTCTGGTCTCGTCAATTTATACTATTGTTACTACAAAGGTCTTTAAATATCCTTTAATCTTTTGTTGAACAAATTTTGCGTGGAAGAGCACTAAAATAGAGATCTATTGTTTGAATTATTCCTCATGATGATTTGTAAAATGGCTGTATGGTATGGGTTGTAAAAAGTTTAATTATTTATTTTTAATTTCAAAAAGAATGTTTCACAAAACTCTCTATATTTTAGACTGTCGTGTTTCTATTTCTGGTCTCAGCGGCTCAATTTCATCGCATCAAACTGCAAAAGCAGACATGGAACCACACTCTCAATATTGTTCATGGCTAATTACTGTACCAGAAACATTTGTTATCTTACTGACATTCTCCATGTTAAATATCCCACAATGCAACGACACATTTCTCTACATTTACAATGGTCTAAATGGTAAATCGCCTTTACTTGGTGAATATTGTGGAGAAAATGCAACTGCAGGAATGGAAATACGCTCTTCAACAAACCATTTGTTGATTGTGGGTAACTCTGGTAGCTATGGCTCCCATTTGAAAAGTGTGTTTGCGTTTCGTGCACACTACAGTGCTCATCATTTTGCTGAAGGTTTGTTTTTACTTTAAATGGCATTGTTAATGTATCTTTGACTGTTTGTTTTTTGTAAGTTCTTTTGGGCGTAAAATGATTTGGGTAATTCATAAAATTAACTTTAATTAATAAAATGCTTCATCGAGTGTAGCTATATCACAAAGAACGTCATGCTGATCGTTCAAAAGTTCATACTTCATTTATAGTGTATGGCCCATTTCTACGGTATCGCGATCCTCATTAATTGAAAAAAAATGCTAGAAGCTGAGCTATGATAATACAAAACGAGCCATAAATTATCGTCGCAAGTTCAAAAATTTTATTAACAATGACAGTTGTAATTTATAACGTCTGAAGCTAAATCAGTTTCACTGTAAAGTACTTTAATAGCTTTTTTCCAAAAAAATGTATGGGTCAAAAACTATACTAGAAAAAACAATCGAAGCAAAAACAGTATAATTGCGATATTTAAAGCTCTGGGGCCGGATGCACGAAGCCTGGATAGCGTTATCCACCCGGTAGCAAATTTTTCTGAACGTTCATAAAGTCTCTGTTATAGGAGAAAAGTATACGATTTGAACTGTGCAATCATTGAAATAAAATATTGTTTCGAAGATTACAAAATTTCTTTTTCATAAGAAAAATATAAACACCTTTTACAAGTTTGAAAATTTTTGCCAGCCAATGGATAACGCTCTCCAGGCTTTGTGCAATCGGCCCCTGAACCATATTTCTATACATGCACATTTGGTATTTGAATGGTCTTAGGGCACGACACACTATTTCCTCAAAGAGTGATCATTCACGAGGAGATTTTTCTGATATAAGATGAAATTTTCTTGGCTTAACACGTATAAAGCTCGGAGGCGAATAAAGCTTAGTAACAATACATCAGTACCAAAACATGTGGCTTATGATAGTTCACAAGGCTCACGTGGTACCATTGGGATTGAGTTTTTAAAAGCATGCATAACAGCTCAAATTGCGCATAACGATAAAACATATAGAAATTCCTCAGAGAGAAGGTATGGTTAGATTTGGATTAAACAAATGGAGGATAAGCATTTCAAACTATTTTGATCTATATAGCTGCCACAAAAAATGCATTTTAAGTATTTACAGCAAATAAATGTAGAAAAAAATTCCAATTCATTTTCGTAGTTTTGTTTGACAGATCAATGGCCGACTGGTAACTTTGGTTTACCTAAAGCTAAAACTGGATGTCCTGGTGATTGGAAAAGTGGATGGCGTGAGGGATGGAGGTTCCAGGACATGGAGAATGGAAATCCACGTTCAGTAGCGTCATTTGGAAATCATATGGATGTTACCTTTCCAATTACGAATTCAAATTATGATATAGTGCGAAAATTTTGTATATTTAAGCAAACGAACAAAGAAGCAAAACGATGGCCTAAAGGTTAGTGCCGGAATTTATTTTGTGTGTCATTGTTGTTTATAAACTTGGTTTTTCTTTGTCTCTAAGTTAGGAGTACTGATGACAACTAGAACTAGTAAATATTAATCATCTACTGATACTCTACATACATCATGGCTATGAGCTTACTTTATGTTCTCCCTCTACCATTTATATCATCAAAACACTTATTACAGACTTCAGTGACAAACTTCCCTTTCATGTAAGACGTTTGTAATACAATTTGCTTTTTGTTTTGCAATACAATGTTTTTGTTCATGCTTCCCTCTACTTTGCTCAACGAATGCAGATTTTAACAAAATCATTTAAAACCTCCTATCACCAGAAAAGCTCTAACCTACTAAGTGCTTTAACCTTGTTTGAGGTCTTTACCAATAAATATCGAACCAAAATTATTTTTTATAGACCTAGCCTGAAGGGCCATAAAACGAGTGTGCTAAAAACATAACAACAATAAAAAAATAATAAAACGTGCGCACTGATTGGTCTACTGCTGTATTTTCTGAATTTTCATTATCCTGTGCAAACCGATCTGAACTCAATCAATTAAATCTCGAGTTCTCCAAAAGGTCTCCTCGGTTTGCATAAGCCTGTGCAAAAGTTTAGTAGCGACCAAATTAGGAATTTAAAAGATCTGCTTTTTCCTGAAATTATAATTTTCTTCTTGCCAAGGAGATAAGAACTGTGCAATATATGAGAATCTGAGCTCGTTACAGTAGAAAACCATTTTTCGCATAAAGCTTCCAACGTCTTTCCGTTAAAGAAGCTAAATCAAAGTTTTTTTATTGTTTTTTCGTTTGAGAAATTTTGGGAAATAATGGCTAGGACTTTTTGTTGAACTTTTCAGTGTCATCACTTAGGTATTTTGTATGATAATAGTGGGATACTTGTTAGACATAGGTGTTTTTGTACAGACCGAGCCCATGAGGTAAGGTTTGTACTAGAAGGCAGAGGATCGATATTTCTCAGTGAAGACCGGGGAAGCTTAACAAAATTTTATTATAAGGTATTATTCAACCTGAAATAAAGCTTTTCTCGTTGTCTTTGTTCCGACTTCCGTAATCGTACATGTTTCATATTTAACTTTGCGCGTTTTAAAAACCATATGACATAATGTTTTCTGTTCGCGTTACAAATTTGTTTACGTTTTGTCGAAAAATTACGTGTATTGGAAGCTGGCCATTCACAGAAAAATAACGGACCGGAAAAATACTTCTCAGCCAGGGGCGGATGTAGGATTTTTCAAACATCAGTCATAAAACGTCGGAGGCGCTCCGCACCTGAGGAGTCTGAGGCATTCTCCCCTGAGAAATTTTGTATTTCAGAGCCTTGAAAATGCCATTATCAGCGTTTTAGAGCAATACAAAATGTATTTTGTGGGCATCATTTTTGCGTAAAAACAACACATTCTGCTTACGTTTTTTTCAAAAAAAATATGAAGTGAACAATACTTGAATGTTTTGCCAAATGTTTAAGCTCATTATCATGCCAAATATATGGCTCATTAGCATGTCTAGGAACGTAAAATTTATTTTACAATACTGCTATTCAAAAACAGATATAGTCTTTAAAGATTTCTACCAAGTTGTCAGGCATAGACCCCCCTAGAGACCCCCATTCAAACCTCTATGTAATGAGTTAAGTTAGAAATTTGGTAGTACAAGTGACAGTTCATAGATATAGAAAAGCTCAGACTTCAAACCATGCAAGTTTATTGTAACCCTTTACCCATCTCCACATCAGTGCCAGCAAATTCACTTTTTGAGAAAAAACTCAAAATTTTTTTCTGCGAAAGATTAAGCAAAAACTATCAGAGTGAAAATTTGCAGTTAAGGACAGCTTAATGCCATAAATGTTTATTAGGCATTTCACTAGACTATTATCTTCTGTAAATATGTGCAAGGTGTGCTATATAGCAATCACTAATAGCATTGTATTTGCAAATACAAACAGAATGTAACCAACATGTCTTTAATTATATAATTACATGAATGTTAAAATTGGTTCATGTGTCATGCTTACTGGTTATGATAAATATCTTTTCATATGATCAAAGCTCGTTTAAATGTAAATCTGAAATAATTTAGTTTAGAAATTATAATGATCATCAGAAAAATTACCTAGTGATCATGAAAAATACTTTGCTGTTTTGCCAAATTTCAAGGTTTATCTGCATACATAGAAAGACATTTTTACTTTATAGAAAATGCTTTTCATACATCAATAGCCCTTTGGAATTCATAGCAAACAATCTGGTATGAGCCGTAGATTAACACACCTTTACATCTCTACATGAGGTGTTCAGTTAGAAAAGGGGACAATATGTGACATGGGACAACATTTCATGTATGTGAAATACTCAGGTTTAATACCATTCCAGTCAAATTGTCAAAATAAAAAGCTTCATGGATCAGAAGACTCAAAATCACAGGTTATAATAAACAGCTTCTCATGTAATCAATGTTAGTTTTCTCAAATCGTAAACAATATGTAGTATAACTGTCCAATGATTGAATGATCAATGATCATAAACTGAAAAGCCCCAAACATTTGCTTATGATAAAGTAAATAATAGTATGGCGCCTTATGGCTACAGATTTTTTGTCCATTGAAATATATTTGCAGGAATGTAGGATTTCGCTGCCATATAACGGCCACGATTCCCCAAGCACTAAAGAAATCATAGCTAAAAGTCCTTCGGCAACAACAATTTTAGAAGCATCAATCTGCTTACCATACGCCATATTGACATAAATCGCATCACACACTCGCATAAATTGACTTTGATATATTACATTCATGCATACACTTCACTTGTCCTTTACTTACAATTTTGGATGTAAATTTCTGTTGATAAAACTCAAAACAATGTTGGCTTTCTTTTGAACATCAATGACTGAAATGTCGCTCGCGAGATCGTTTTTGCCAAGCATTTACAATTTATCCATAAATTTTTCACCCTCTTGAAAAAATTCACAGTTTGGACAGCAGCATTTATGTCAATATATGAATTTGTAAAAGATTTCCATAAATTCCATCTGATTGTAGTTTAGTTTCTATCATGCTTATAAAAATTACTATGAAAAGATCAAACATTCAATTCAGACAGTGAGCTTTGCGATACGCAGACGACTATTACGCAGCGCAATCAAAAAGCGAACAAAGGAAGTTATCGAATGAAGTAACAAAAATATCAGAAAGCTTAAAGAATAATCTATCCTCTCTCGACTGGAATATTATAAACAAAGCTATAGAAAAAAACATAACCAAATACCTACAAAAGACAATTGCCACACATCGGAAAAAACTAAGTAATCTCACAAGGAACAGAACCCTACCATTCACACACAACGAGACGATAACCAATCTATCATCACACCAATTAAAAGACGAAGAACTAGAACTCCTGAAAAATGGCCTTGGGTTCAGCATTAAACCACTGCGACTCAACTCAACCGACATTCTGGCAACATTCGAAAAAATCCACCAAACTATAAAACACAACATTCGCAATCAAGAAGACTACACGCATCTCAAAACAGAGCTGGCACACATCGCTCACTTGTACATCTCATCTTATCACCCGACACCAGCTGACTTCAAAAAACATCACATCCTTAAAAACATTCGCAACAATCCAAACATTATCATACTCAAACCGGACAAAGGCAATGGCGTCGTAATCATGGATCGTCAAATGTATCGTAACTCCTGCCTTAAAATCATTAACAATACAGCAAAGTTTACCCCACTCAAAGAAGACGTCACACTACCACGTGAAGCCAAACTACAACGACTGTTAAGGAAGCTTCTAAAGAAAGACTCTATTAGCAACAAAGTTTATAATGATATCTTCCCCAGAGGTTCTCAACCCTCACGCTTCTATGGCTTACCGAAACTTCACAAGAAACGAGAACCAGAACAATCGCCTCCACTACGACCGATAGTTTCATCAATCAACGCATACAATTATAATTTAGCTAAGTATCTTAGTCTCTACTAACACCACTCATACCAGATGACCACTCCACTAAAGATTCTTTCACTTTCCTCGACGACTTCTCATCTTTCAACTCATCAACTTCTTGTCACAAATTCTTCATCTCCTACGACGTTGAAAGCCTATTTACTAACATACCACTTACTGAAACCATCAACCTAGCAATCGACTTAATATTCACTCACAACCCCAGGTTCAGTATAAACAGGACAGACCTCACACAACTGTTTTTAATAGCAACAGCACAGACGCATTTTTTATTTAATGGAAAATTTTATGACCAGACGAACGGTGTTGCGATGGGCTCTCCCTTGGCACCCATACTTGCTAACATTTTCATGGGCTCACATGAACGAAACTGGCTAAACAACTACAACGACACTAAACCACTATTTTACCGCAAATACGTTGACGATATTTTTTGTGTTTTTACTAACGAAACTGAGGCATGAAGTTTTATAATTACATTAACACACAGCACGCAAACATTAGATTTTCTTTTGAAACTGAACAACAAGATCAACTGCCATTTCTTGACATTTTAGTAACAAAATCTCACGACAGCTGTACAACATCTACATACCACAAACCAACGTACACAGGACTTCTGACGAACTATTTTAGTTTCACACCACTTTCATACAAAACCGGACTTATACGCACACTCATCGACAGAGCATACAAACTTAACAATACGAACAATGGCTTTCAACGAGACATAAAAAACATCACATCCACTCTTTTACGAAACTCTTTCCCACTTCACTTTATTAAAAGAACCGTAAAACGATATCTCGACAACAAACATAGCAACAACCTCAACCTAGACACCGAAACTCCTCACAACCAACACAAATGAAAATTCCAAAATAACAACTCTATACTTCAAACTACCATACATCGGACATTACTCACGACACACACAACGCAGACTTACAAACATTATGAAACGCTTCTGTACAGATATTGACATTCGACTAATTTTCACATCATTCAAAATCAAAAACCTTTTCTCATTTAAAGACCCAATCCCTGATTCAATTAAATCTATGGTGGTATATGAATTCAATTGCGCGGGATGTAATTCCCGATACATTGGCGAAACTTCGCGCCATTTATCCACCAGAATCAGGGAACATACCACAACAGACAAAAACTCTCATATCTACCGACACCTTCTTAAATCTCACTCATGCAAAACCAACTATTCACCCTCTTGTTTCAAAATCATCGACACTGCCGACACCTCATTCACCCTTAAAATCAAAGAAGCACTCCACATTAACAAAACTAACCCTGACCTCAATGTTCAAGTTTTTAAATTCAATACAATATTTAGTTTATAATACGCTCGGACGCTCCTCATTAATTTATCTTATTTCCTTTTTATTGTTGTAATTTATGTATCATATTACTTTTATATAAGCCCTGTATCACCTATTATTTCACTCATACTGAAGATGGCATCATAAGATGTCGAAACATGTCTATTTTCAAAAAAGTTGTCGTTTATATTAAATGTGTATGTTAGTTCAGTTGGCTATCAGTCGAAATCCGTCAAACCAATCACAATAAAACAAAAATTCAAATGAACCAATTGTAAGATAGCAATTGGACTCCCTTATACGTCTGGCCACCCCAATTATCAGTCGAGACCATTCCAGACTGTCCACTGATCTGGCCATTGACCAACGAAATAAGCGCTTTTGGCGTTCATAGACTCCTTTATCCGTCGAACCAGACAAGCCACCCCGCTTATCAGTCGGTTATTCCAGGTCAATTAAATTCAACTGATCTGGTTACCAACGAGATATTCATTGATTAGTCATTAGTTTTCAATAATAAACAAAGCTGGATTTTTATCACGAAGTAAATGCGATAATAAAGTAAGAATAATTAATATGAATAGGTAATTTTTGAATTTCAAACATCAGTCGCGCGACGGATTTGACATACTCTAAATCCGCCCCTGTTCTCAGCCAATCAAAGCACGTAATGTCAACGGAAGTGACGCTTGCTATATAATAAGGGAAATTGATAAGTCGACAGCCAAAAAAATTCCAAGCTAAAACAATTTTCAAGTCAAAAAAATTTCCAAGCCCAAAACGCATTGAGTCAGCGGAAGTAATATTTGCCTAATAAAAATACATTTTAAATTACATACGTCCAAATTGAAACTACTACAATTATAAAAAAATAGAAAAATCTGGAAAGTCTTATAATTTTTTGTACATTTTTTTGACAGGTTCGTACTGTCTTTACAAGTCGGGCAACACTTGTCCTCAAGGTCTGAATTCTGGATATGTAAAATTTGACGATGAAGACACAGACAATAAAAATAGCCTAGGAGGAGAATCACGCCCCAATGATAAGTCGAGACGTACTTGTTTAAAAGGTATGAGTTCTGGCTCTGTAAAATGGGACGATGAAGATGACTGGCGAAAACATGATAATGATTATAGAAAACAATTACCTTACGGCACATATGATGATAACACTGTTATTCATTATTGCTGTCAAACAAATGGCAACTGGTATGATTCCATTGAACTGCCAGTTATTAAACCTTTTTATTTGTTGACCTCCAATTCATTGTCATCCCCAAAGTGTCAAATTGTGAAATGGGCAACTAGTCAAATGGAATATATATTATTTAATACGGAAGATGACGAAAATATCGATGAATTTGTTGAAGCACATGTGTTTAAGACGTCGGACATTTCTGGTCGCATCAAACTTTATTATTGTTACTACAAAGGTCAGTATATGTGAAACGCATCGGTGCTTTTACTAATTTTAATGTGATGAATAACTTCTTAAATAAGTACTTTGCATGCGATTCCAGGTCTTACCTAGTATTTTTTAAAAATATCAAACAATGTCCCGAATGTCCTGTTGCAGCTACAAGTTTTTTAAATGGTCCACGTCCAAAATAATATTTCTCTTTAATTTTCCATTTTGCATTCTTTTTTACAATTAAGATTGTCGTGGTTCAGTCAGCGGTCCCAATGGTTCTATATCTTCCCACGACCCTGCACAAAACGTTTCGGATCCACACTCTCAACATTGTTCATGGTTGATTACTGTACCAGAAACATTTGTCATCTCACTGAAATTCTTGATATTAAATATTCCACAGTGCAATGATACATTTCTCTACATTTACAATGGTCCAAATGATACCTCTCCTTTACTTGGTAAATATTGTGGAAAAAATGCAACGGCAGGAATGGAAATACTTTCTTCAACAAACCATTTGTTTATTGTTGGTGACTCTGGTAGCTATGGCTCTCATCCAAAAAGTGTGTTTTCTTTTCGTGCACACTACAAAGCTATAGGTTTGTACCTGATATAATATATAATAAATGAAACGTTCCAAGCACTGAAAGTTTCATTGAACGTGAAACGTTCATATAATGTGAACTCATTTCATATAATGTGAACAATGGTCTACCGTTAATTACGTTGTTTTGCTTGATCATAATTTAAGTGAAAACAAAGCGGTTTTGAGTTATCTGTGCTAATGTGTTGCTTCAGAAGTTTATTTAATTTTTTTACATGCGAAATTGTTTCCTTACTTTAGAATATAGCCGCACATAACCTTTTAGTGTATTCAGATAGTATTGCCTTTAAATCTGCTGATGTCAACAACTGATATTCATAATATTATTCCTAACACGGTTTTTATATGCAAATGAAAAACATGTGACTTGGACGAGATTTGAACTCGCACATTCGGGATACTAGTCCGCCGCCCTAGCTTGATATAGTAACTGCAAACTGCGAGTTTCTGCGATTCTTTCAGATATTAGACTGCCATCATCACTTCATCGCTAGTTCTGAAACTATAACATAACCAACTGACAGTTTTGTTGGTTACCTTTGTCGCCAGGAATGCTAAAATGTATATAGTTGACTTCATTGTCTTAAATTTTGTTAAGTATTGCAAACTGACGTTATTACAATTTACAAAAGATGAATCCATTGCGCATGTCCAGATAAAATTTTTCGTCACAGCAATAACATTGACCCACATCACTACAATGATGTCATCAACAAAATCATGGTTGACATGTATTGAATATTACAACGTACTCTTCATTATATTCTGCAGAACCGCCACCTTCACCAAAGTCTTCATCTGATGAGTCAAATATCGCAGGTGTTATTGCCGGAGTATCCGCGGTCGTTTTTTTTGTGATTGTTACTGTTGTTCTTGTTGTTGTTGTTTGCTTTCGTAAATCAAAACAAAGTAAGATACTCATTTTTTTACAATAAAATTTAAACAAGGTTATGTTTACGGGTTATGATAAGTGTTGAAACATAGAAATTATAGTTTTAATTTCATAATTATATTTTGAAAGGATTGAAGTATTTTTACCATTGGTCGATTTAGGATTTTGGTTTATGATTTTGTTATTAAAGTTCTTATCATTGTTGTTGTTCTTCGCTTTTGCAAATCATAGCAAAGTGACATATTTATTTTGTCACAATGTATAATTCTTACATAGTAAAGAAGGAACCCGTTAGTCGTATCCGTTTGTCGTGGAAGTTTCAGTATGAAGTATTTTTGGAAGGCTTGAAAAATTTTTATCATATGTCGATTAAGCATATAGGGCTTGATAATGTTAATGATTATTGTGGTTTGACTACTTGTCCAGAAGAATACACATAGAATTTCCTAAAATTTTTTATGTTTTGAAGAATGTCTTTAATTCATTAACTGTTTTTGTTACACTCCAAACTAATCATTTTTCTAGAAAAAGAACAACATGAAGAAGTTGAACTTGAGACAAAAGTTGAAGATGACGATAGAGATCACATATACGAAGCGCTATCCGATGTAGTAGACAACAGTCCTCTAACTATTAGTAAAGATGGGCGTTATGAAATCCCTCATAAAGAGAACGTTCCTCTCCCCAAGCTTCCAACACAGAATGAAGATGACGAAGATGAGTCAAAACTACCAACAGAGAAATTGGAATATGTTGCAGTAATTGATTCACATTATCAACCCTTGATTCGTCAACAAAAACTCGTACCCGGCACTGAAAATTATAACGAACAAATGTTGCCAAATAACAGCTCTAAAATAAAAGATGAGGGTATTGATCTACTTGAGAAGTCAACCACCACAATTTGAATGTTATCATTAACAACAAATTGAAGTATATTCTGTATGATCATGAACTATCAAGGATGATTTGGTAAAGTAAATTTGACAGTTAAATTATTCATAAGGATGGAATAACATTTGGAATGTAAAAAAAATATTAATGATTTATTCTTGACTTGCAACCATTCTTTTGAGATCTACCAAACAATGTTGCACGCCCTCGTCAACTGCTGCCAACAATAACACTGACAAAATATTCTTTTGTATCAGACCACCAACATGGCTGAATTTCAAGTCAAGAATTGCTGAGCAAGTAATAAGTAACAATGACCTAGAACCCAGTCCACTAGATATATAACTACTCCAATATTCTTTAGTTACGAGTGAGGTAAGCCGTCATCTTCAAAGGTGGCAAAACCGACGATATTTATGATTAATATCTGCTTTTCCTCTGTTGATATTCATTTACAAAGTTGATAGTCTGGGTTTAGTTTTTAAAACGTATGAGAGCATTGTGTTTTTAACCATCTTTCAGCTTACTTTTCATTTTCAGTTTTTCTTTTTGCCACCTTTCAAAATGGCGTCCTTGCGTCACTTTGACACGCAGTAGTTAGATATCTAAAGTAATGGATTCTAAATTATTGAAGAGTAAGTACAACGATAACAAGTGAAAATATTCACATTATATATGAATTACATAATAAACGATGTAGGGTTTAATTCAAGTTATTCAACAAGGCGTCTCTTAACAAATGAATGTTTGTGTTAAGCCGAGTTCAAACGTCGAACTTTACATGCACCAAACGCATTTAAAACCAAAGATAATGAGGAAGTTTATCTCATTTTCTTTTTTCTTTAATGCGTTCGGTGCATGTAAAGTTCGACGTTTGAAGCAGGCCTTAATTATTTGATAATGTATAAACACGAAATACGTATAGGAAGGTAAATACGTTTACCAAAGAAAGGTTCCATAATGCATTTGAGACACATTATTGACGTAATCATTGACGTTGCGTAAATTAAAAAGTCTAAGAGAAGAAAACATTTGAAATGAATGTTTTGTTATTGATTTCACCAAAACAGAATTTCCATATATTGTTTTTAAATTACAGATTTCAGTCAATCATGTGTGATTTTAAATTTTATTGAAATTCAAATGTATCAATCAATACAATAAATACATAGAACGGAATGGTTTTAGGCTTATACGTGTTTGTAATGCATTGTTAAATTTAAGTTGTAAACACTTGGGATTTTGTTTAGCTGAACTTCATGCGTCAGCGGTCTTATCATGACAATGTTGTAAATGTTGTTATTCTTAAGACACTCTCAGTTCGCACAAGCATTCTAGAAAGCGTTGTTATCAGAGCCCTCTATATGTCTAACATATAGAGGGCTCTGAATCACAGAATAGGAAATGAACAGAAGGCCAACCAAGGGGTGCATTGTGTCCCAGATTTTTTATGCGCTTACAAAAGATCCGCCATTACTCTGGCAAGTCCTGCGGTTGCTGGATACTATAAATTAAACAGTACAATGGAATATTTTTGTACGAAAATCGCTCTTTTAAAGACAAATTGGAAGTATTGCATTGTAATTTGTTGTTCTGATAATTAGAACGCAGATTTCAAAAGTAAACCTCCACATTGGGTAAATTAATGTTCTTGCACAGTACAATTATAAACAAATTCCTTAGCCAGTACTTGCCAGAGTAATGGCGGCCGTCGAATTTCTAGCATGCGCAATGAGTTATGAAGATGTGTCATCTCTCTCCATAGAACCAATACATTGACTTTATGGTTTTAAATCAAATTTCTCAAATGATCTCATATTTATCTTATCTGACTACGCCACAAACTAAATACCGAAATTGATTATTTTTTTGTTACGAGCACAGCGCCAAATTTTCCCACATTTTCCCCAAAAATCCTGACCACTAAAAATTTATAAAGTATCAATCTTACAAATAATTGACTCTGAAGATGACAGCCGCTAAGATTGTCGAAACGTCAGTCAACATCTATACAAACAGTCTTTCTCAGATCTCTACTAACTTGGACGATCTACAACTACAAACATGTATTAATCTCACGTTAACGTTTGCATTGGAAGGTGCATATTGTGTTTAAAAGTCTAGTGATGCTTGTCCAAATGGCATGAGTTGTGGTTCTGTAAAATGGGATGATGAAGGTGATGTTCAAGAAAGGATGATGGTCAAGGAGGATATTTACCTTTTGGCACCTATGATGAAGACACTACTATTAATTATTGCTGTCAAACAAATGGTAACTGGTATGACTCCATTGAATTGCCAGTTATCAAACCTTTTTATTTGTTGACATCCAATTTATTGTCATCCGCCAATTGTCAAATGGTAAAATGGGCAACAAGTCAAATGGAATGCATTCTGTTTGATAAGCTGGATGAGAATAAATATTATGACTATAAGAGAACGGTTTTGGGCAAAAATTCAAGTTCGCTAAAGTTCATATAGAAACCTTCTCCTGTTGTTAAAATATCATAATAAATAATTTGGCATAATTTTGAAAGAAGAAAAAACCAAAAACGTGTATTTCAAGAAAAATTCATTATAAAATATATACTAGAAGTGGACAGTCCAATATGGCCCCCGCTGTCAAAAATTGGCTTCAAAATTTTCTAGGCACTAGAATTAGGTTGCGTTATCCAGTCTTTATGTGTATCACTGCCTAGGAGTAAGAAAATAACGGAATTCTCGCCATGTTGGATGAAATTTGCATTGCAAATAAGGAAAATTCTTTGTTAAACTCATCCAAAATGGCGGCTATGACATAGCTTGCACACCAAAATATTTGAAAAGCTAAACTAGAGCCAGTTTAAGCTGTGCTTGCGCACTAAATAAAAAATGCTACCGGTGCTACAGTTAAATATGACACAAAACGAATTTCAAAGTTTTGAGTAACACTCATTGCGATGATTCCTGTGTTCAGTTGACAAGATATTAGATTGTAAAGAAATGTCGCTCATTAAGCCTGGTTTTCACTACTAGCGGCATAAGAAAAAGGACAAACAAAGACTAAACAAATTCAAAAGAATCCAATGAAGCGACCGATAGAACAAAAACAAAGTAAAAAAAATCCTTTAACCTTTTGCTTCTTTTAAACTGTGGAAAATTTGCTTTGTTTCTTTTTATCGCTTGTGCTTGTGTTGCAAGTGAAAACTAAGCTTTATTGTACTTAGTTGTGAATTATGGGTCCATGTTTATTTGATAAACTAATCCCAAGCTTTATTAACAAAAAATCTATGTCTTTAACTGATAACTATTCTTTTATGTGAATATTTTCATTATTTAAACTTTCGTCATTTGTGTGTTACCATATATTTTCTCCATAAAAGCAAATCGCAAATGTCTGTGACACATAGCTTGTTTCTTCTTTGAGATTTGTCATGAAGTCTTATCGTAGATATGTAATCCTTGTGCTTCTAACATCATGGTTTGACTTTTGGAGCTTTACTAACATTGGTACTGTAACGTATCATTCTACATTTGTATTGTATATGCGAATATATTCTCTTGACTGGCATCACGTTGTTAAAGAACTGCTTCAATTTCATGTCTAACATATTTATTTCATGACATTAATGAGCATCTATATTTTCATCCCAAAACTAGCTGTAAGCTTCAACTTGTATCTTGTGACTAACTTAAATCTTTGTACTGCGATTAACTTCTTTCCTCATTGACATTAAAAATATAAAAACGACAGTTAATGCTCTGTCTTAAAACACTCACGCTCTTTCATTCACTTTATCGTTTGTCACAAATCGAAGTAGTTTTGTTAAACTTTTGTCGTTTCACCGTTAATATGTATATTCTTTTAGTTTAAATCGTTGTCTTTCTTTATTTTCTAACACAAAACCTTTTTTAATTTGCATCACATATGATTCAAAAACTGTTTCCAGTTGAAAACAAAATGTTTTAGTTATATAAATCGACAACTTGTAATCACTTCCGCGGCATCAACCTTATTGGAAAGTGAAGTAATCACTGGAGTTGTTTTTCTTTTACAGACAATCAATGGCCAAGAGGGAACTTTGGTCTACCTAAGGCTACAACAGGATGTCCTGGTGATTGGAAAAGGGGATGGCGTGAGGGATGGAGGTTCCAAGATATGCAAGATGGAGGTGAAAGATCAATGGTGTCAATTGGAAACCACATGGCTGTTACCTTTTTAACAGGAAAATCTGGAGTAGATATTACACGAGCATTTTGTTTGTTGGACCAAAATAACAAAGAAACAAAATCTTGGCCTAAAGGTCTGTGGCTTTTTTTATATTCTTGTCTTTGTTGTTTAAAATGAGTAACAAGTTAGCATGTATTTTTTCAGAGTAAAATTCCTCCCAAAATTGTGAATTTTAATCTTTTACTGCATCGACATGAAACAATTTACCATACTTGCAAGTAAAAAAAGCTATCCTTTGGTATTCTTGAAACCTTTAATTGTGATTAAATCTTAATGTTGATGGCCTTGCTGTCATTGACCAATCTTACTACTCGTATAAATCTTACAACTTAAAAAATCTTACTACTTATAGTACTTGACTTACTTTTCCAAACTTTCATTATTTAGAGTTTGGAATTTAAATTTGTAATTAACTCTGTGGATCACATTTCACAAGCCCATCAAAAGCGGGAAGTGGTTCTGAGAAGGCTACAATACACCCCACACAATAATTTACTAAAATTTTTTGAAAGTTTTAAAATGTTCTTCATTTCGTCTGTTGAAACGTACTAACATACTTAGATAACCCCCTAACCGCTTCTGACGGTCTTCTTTCACAGTTGAACACATTTTGAACAAATTGCATGAATCATAATGACCAAACGTCAAAATATTCATCTTGTTTTTAAATCACATCCTTTAAAAGGTACATATTGTATTTACAAGTCAAGCATTGCTTGTCCATATGGTATGAGTTCTGGTTCTGTGAAATGGGATGATGAAAATAATAAAAATACCAACAAACAAAGAGGACAATTACCTGATGGTGTCTATGATAATGACACTCTCATTCATTACTGCTATCAAACGAATGGCAATTGGTATGATTCCATTGAATTACCAGTTATTAAACCTTTTTACTTGTTGACATCCAATTCATTGTCATCTCCCAAATGTCAAATGGTAAAGTGGGCAACAAGTCAAATGGAATATATTCTATTCGATACGGAGGATGAAAATAATAGTGATATTTTTTCTGGAAATCATGTTTTTGTTGATACTTTCAACAGTTCTGGTCGCATCAAGCTCTACTATTGCTATTACAAAGGTAACTGTCTCTATTATTCATTTACTCCCTGTTACATATATCTTTTTTAAAAGTAAATATAGAGATCCGTTGTTAAAATAGAGTCACATTTCCCAGCTTCAAGCATTACTATTGTTGCTACGAAGGTGACGAAATGAAATTAAAAAAAAGTGAAAAAGTCGCATACAATGGTTTTAATCTCGTGACATTAACTGTCTTATATATGTCTAGCATACTGTATGTTTGAACAAATTTTGAAACTATTGTGGCTTAGAGTTTTTTTAATTTTCATAATTGAATAGTGTTGCTACATTTTAGATTGTTGTAGCTTGATCAATGGCACAAATGGTTCAATATATTCAGACAAAACATCACAAAACTGTATGGATCCACAATCTCAATATTGTTCATGGCTAATTACTGTAGCAGAAACATTTGTCATCTCGCTGACATTCTCCATGTTAAATATCCCACAATGCAACGACACATATCTCTACAATTACAATGGTCCAAATATTAAATTTCCTCTACTTGGTAAATATTGTAAAGAAAATGCAACTGCAGGAATGGAAATACGTTCTTCAACAAACCATTTGTATATCATCGGTAACTCTGGTAGCTATGGATCAAATCAGAAAAGCGTATTCAGATTTCGAGCAAAATATATCGCTCATAATCCAGAAAAAGGTTTGTTTTTATTTTATGTTAAATGCAGTCAAAATTCTTATGCATTTTTATCTTTATACTTTTGATTTTATTTTTCTACTTGTTACGAAACAATATCTATAATTTGAACATTTTCCTGCGCAGTTTTTTTTTGTCGCTATTGGATAAATTAATTTCATGAGGCAAATTGATACAAAACTCCGTTTTCATTAGAATATTGTGCATTTATATAGCTGCAAACACAGATAAGAAGCACACTCTTTTTCTAATAAGCACACTTAGGAGCGCAGCTCTAACCCTAACTGGAGGAATGGGTGCAATATTCATTCAGTTATACGTCTATAGAACTGATTTGTTATAAAGCAACTGTAATTTCAAAAGAAATCAGTCTGGAAGACGTGAATATAAAAATGTTCGCCCCCAATAAAAGTTGTATAGCCCTTCCTATGCACATTACTGTGGCTTCTTTACTAACTGTTATTAACAAAAATGTATTGTATTCAACAAACCAGGATATTATCTATTTTGTTAAAGAGGGATATTTCCTCCTTAGATATCCTGAGTGAAAGAGAACATATCACAAATGGGTTCATACGTGACTGTTTGATTTTGTCGATTAAGCATGTAAACTACATGTCTTATTTTAATAGTATGAATAGTATGAATAGTATGAATTTCCACTTATGAAAATATGTTGCAAGCAAAAACATTACAGATTTCACTTTATCTTTTCCAGAAAAAAAGTCGCCCAACTTTTCAACCGAAATTACCGGCATCACAGTTGGAGTCACTGCAGCTACGTTTATACTTATCATATTAGTTGGTGCTCTTTGCCACTTGAAACAAACTCGTAAGACATACTTATTTTGTTTTACTGTCTGTTTTACATTATTTTCACGGTTTTCACCTGTAAATTACAAGCATTTATTTTATTCACTGACCATGTTAATAAATGAGGTCTATTTCATGTAGGAACATGTAAAGTAATTTTGGGGAGGGTATCAGTTTGAATATTAAATTCCTTTAACGATGCGGTGCAACCAATTGTCAAATAGTATTTAATGTGTTAAGTGAAGACTTGATGCTCAAATGATTTGGTTTTAATGTTTTAACGAGTATAAATATATTGTAAAAATTTATTTGTCCTGAAACTTGTCTTTTATTTATTCACTCTTATCGTTTGACTTCAAACTAATCTCTTAATCCTAAACTAGGTCGTGAGAGGCTAGTTAGCCTTGAGGAAGGTAATAGAGAAGCACCTACCTCCGCAGGTAGGTACTACCTACACCGAGATGCAGTAACCTCATTGTAACTTAAAGATGACAGTAGTTCCAAAAAAGAAGATGACGACATCAATATACCCGAGATAGTCAAAACTCAACACTAAGTATTTAGTTAACAAACAAAAGTATATGCTGAATAAAATAAAAAGGATGCATGATATGGTACAATGTTTATGTTACGATAAGATTGAAAAAAATTGTCCTTGAGAAATTTTTCCAAAATATTTTCTTGTATCTGTTTAAAGGCAACTTATTTAAGTTGTAGACTGCCTTAAATAGATAGCTTAATATTTTGTTGATGTATTATCAAGATAAGATATTTTACAAGTGAAGAAAAACGAAAATACTTTCCATTTCGTTTAAGTAAAGAAGGCAGAAGATTGTTAATTTCGGCACTATATGCATGTTCTACAAAATTAGACTCTAATTTATCTTGTCAAATATGATCATGAATTACAGTATGCTGCTATGTTTTGTAAAGTTTTACTGTTCTAGGATGAGCAAAGTTTATTATTATTATAGCTAAGTCTGTTTTGCTTAGTTGGAGGAAAGTCTTCTATTTCTGCACGTTTTATGTTTTTCCAAAATGAATATTTGTTTCTCTAAATATTTTCTTTCACTATCGTTTTAGATCTGCAATTCCATATTTCTTGACTATATTTACACGTAAATTCTTTGAAACATCTGTATATTGTGATAAATAACTATGTATTTTGATATAGCTAATAGTAAATCATTCAGGATAGCTTGTTTACTAATACTGCATGTTTAAGTAATGGGATCGGTCAAAACCAGCGACAAATATGTTGTTTTACTTTTGTACTATCGATAGAAAGGTTCTAAGAGCCACCTATCTTTAATGACCAATTTTCTTAAAGGTGCGTTAACAAAAACAAAGATGTTAATCCATGAGGTTATATACATTAGTACACAAAATTAAGCTGTCTTATTCGTGATGTGAAGGTGCTGGCTGCAATTCTCATTGACTTAATAATTTCACATCTTAGCTTGATCTTTTTGTAGAGTGTTTGTATCTGACGATCTTTTGCATTAACGTAGTGTGTCATTTTAATCACTTATGACTGTTGAGATATTGCTTGTAAGCTTTCAGTCTTTGTTTCTTAACAGCAGCATCAAAAAGTGTCTATTGTAATATGATTTAAATAGATTCTATTAAAATAATTTGTTATGGCGATTTTAAAATATACATACGTAAGTACAATTTCCTACCCATCTACTTACTAACTATTCATATTCTGCTGCTTTTGAAACGTTTTTACTCCACACAGCAATATTGGGAAAAAACCTTTGCAGTGAGAAGAATCTCTGTTGATTTCACACTTTGTTGAGTATTAGTTGTAAACCAACAACATGACTAAGGTTGCGTTTACACTATACCGGATTCGCTGGTCACGACATCTTCATTTACTTTAAAGGGTTAACTTTTCGGAGTGAAAGCTTATTAAGCTGATAGATTTAGTCTATTTGATTGTGTTTCTGACGTTGGACAGTTTCACTGCCTTTTAATACAAAGAATATTCAACCTGCCATGATAGCAATCCGGTATAGTATAAACGGTGCCTGATGATGATGTCACATGAAATAACATTATTCCAAAGAGGGATTGCCATGAAAAATTCTTTGCAATTCTAAGATTATCATCTGAATAGGAATCCGTTCAAACGCGATTGTTACTCAAAAGAAGATGATTTCCAATCACAGGAGACGATTGTTTTTTGCAATCATGGTTTGGCTGCTGTCGTAAGGGAATTAATAGGGTTGTTTCTGTACAAATAAAAATCTCCTCGCGCAAAAAAAACGTGGGTAACCATATTCAAATCATATTCAACAAGATATTACATTGTGAAGAAATGTTGCTTGTTAAGCCTGGTTTTCACTAGCGACATAAGAATAAGGACAAACAAAAAAAAAGAAATTCAAAAGAATGCAATGAAGCGACCAATAGAACAAAAACAAATTAAAAAAATCCTTTAACCTTTTGTTTCTTTCGACCTCTGGAAGATATGCTTTGTTTCTTTTTATCGCACGTGCTTGTGTTGCAAGTGAAAACTAAGCTTATTGTACTTAAATTTATGCATTATGGTCTGTGTTAATTTGATAAACTAATCCCAAGCTTCATTAACAAAACGTTTATTTCTTCAACAGATCACTTTTCTTTTATGTGATTATTTTCATCATGAAACTTTCGTCATTTGTGTATTACCATATATGTTCTCAATAAAAGCAAATCGCAAATGTCTGTGATGTAAGTGACTTTGAGATTTGTCATAATGTCTTGTCGTAGATATGTAATCCTTGTCCTTCTAACATCATGGTTTGACTCTTGGAGCTTTACTAACGTTGGTACTGTAACGTATGATTCTACATTTTTATTGTATATTCAAATATATTCTTTTTACTGGCATCACGTTGTTAAAGAACTGCTTCAATTTCATTTTTAACATATTTGTTTCATGACATTAATGAGCATCTATGTCTGAATGCCGAAAATAACTGTAAACCTCAACTTGTATCTTGTGATTAACTTAAATACATGTGCTGCGATTAACTTCATGCATCCATGAAATGAAATGTATAAATTACGGCCTAAAATGGCAGTTATTGCTTTGTCTTAAAACACTCACGCTCTTTCATTAACTTTATTGTCTGTCACAAATTAAAGTACGTTTGCTTAACGTTTGTCGTTTTATAGTTAATATGTATATTTGTTTAGTTTAAATCGTTGCTTTTCTTTATTTTCTAGTATATAACTTTTGTAACTTGCATCACGTATCATTAAAACACTGTTTCCAGTTGAAAACAAAATGCTTTAGTTATATAAATCGACAATTTGAAATCACTTTTATGGCATTACCTCAATTGAGAGTGAAGTAAATCTCTGGAGTTGTTTTTCTTTCACAGACAATCAATGGCCAACTGGTAATTTTGGTTTACCTAAGGCTAAAACAGGATGTCCTGGTGATGGGGAAAGTAGATGGCGTGAGGGATGGAGGTTCCAAGATATGCAGGATGGAGGTGAAAGATCAATGGCGTCATTTGGAAACCACATGGCTGTTACTTTTTCAACAGGAAAATCTGGAGTAGATATTACGCAAGCATTTTGTATGTTGGACCAAATGGATAAAGAAGCAAAATCTTGGCCTAAAGGTTTGTGGCTCTTTTCATATTGCCGTCAATGTTGTTTAAAATGAATAACAAGCTAAAATATAATTTGCCACTGTAAAATTCCTCTCAAAATTGTGATTTTAAATTTAATCTATTACTGCATGACAGTTATCGAACATTGACATGAAACAATTTACCGTACTTGCAAGTAATAAAACTATCCTGTGGCATTTGTGAAACCTTTAATCGTGACTAAATCATAATGCTAATGGCTTTGCTGTCATTAATGACCAATATTACTACTTTTACAAATCTTACGAAACAAAAAAATCTTACTGCTAGTACTACTTACTTAATATTCCAAACGTTTATTATTTAGAGTTTGGAATTTAAAGTTGTAATTAAAGTGCATATAAACCTTACGTGGTTTTTACACTATCCAATGTACGTGGTGTCAAAAGCCATACTCCAAAATTTTGATGTAATTGGACAAATATTTTGCGCTGTACAGTCTGTCAAAGTTGCCAAAATATACCATTTTAAGCGCTCGGTTTTACCGCGAAGGGACAGGACCTACACGGTTGGGTGACGTCATGTAAGTAATCGCTTCCTGAACATTATATTAATTTAACAAGCTATTTTCTTTACCACTGTCACATCATGCCAAATGCCCATGTATTCGCAAGGCGCTTTACCAATTTGCAAGGACAGACACCGGTAAAACACTGCCCTCCAACTCTATATCATAATTTGCATTTTCTGATGAATCTGAACATGTTTCCGACACAGATGAGGACATTTCGAAAAAAACGACGTAAAACTCGCCAAAATATTGATTATTTTAAAAAGCAAATAACTTGTTTTGAATAGAGACTACGCGACTTTAATCCTTACATGACGTCACAACATGTACTTGATACTAGACCCCATTGGGAAATAAATGTAGAAAAAATCTAGACTTTTAAACCATAATTGCGAAGAAAGTTTTGATTTCAATTCATTTATCTTTTTTAAACTTGTAGTTTTCAAGAACTGCTCTTTTAAACTGTGCTAAAATCCTATAAGGTTTATATGAACTTTAAATCTGTGGATTACATTTCACAAGCCCACCGGAAGGGGGAAGATGTGCTGAAAGGGCTGCAATACACCCCACACGATACTTTACTAAAACTGTTGGAAAATTTTGAAGTGCTCTTCACTGCATCTGTTGAAACATAGTAAAACATTTGTACCACACCAACCACTTCTGACGGTCTTCTTTCACACTTGCACAAATTGCTCGAATCATAATGACTAAGCGTCAAAATATTCATCTAGTTTTTAAATCACATCCTTTAAAAGGTACATATTGTATTTACAAGTCAAGCATTGCTTGTCCATATGGTATGAGTTCTGGTTCTGTGAAATGGGATGATGAAAATAATAAAAATACCAACAAACAAAGAGGACAATTACCTGATGGTGTCTATGATAATGACACTCTCATTCATTACTGCTGTCAAACGAATGGCAATTGGTATGATTCCATTGAATTGCCAGTTATCAAACCTTTTTACTTGTTGACATCCAATTCATTGTCATCTCCCAAATGTCAAATGGTAAAGTGGGCAACAAGTCAAATGGAATATATTCTATTCGATACGGAGGATGAAAATAATAGTGATATTTTTTCTGGAAATCATGTTTTTGTTGATACTTTCAACAGTTCTGGTCGCATCAAGTTCTACTAT